GGCCCCTCCTCCCCCCCCCCAGGGCTCCCCCCAGCAGATGAGTGACGGCACCCTGCGCACCCCCGGGGCCGTAGACTTCTTCCGCATCCTCAACGAAAACGTGAGGGCCCCCAGCAGGCCGGTTTGTAACCCCCGCATTCTTATCAAACACCCTGAATTTGATCGGCCAGGGTTTGAGGGGCGCTGGCTGGCGCGGGAGCACCGGCACTCTGGGAGCGAGCGCCGCGAGGCGCCGGCTGCCGCGCCGCCATGGGGTCAAAGGGGGCCCCCTCCTCCCAGCGCCACAATCACCTACTCGTTGAGCTGCTGAGCTGGCGCCTTGATTTCTGGGGGCTTGGACCACCTGGCCACACTCACAAAACACGGCCCCTCTTTGCTTTTTGATTATTTCAAGGCATCCAACCGCAATTCATAGCAATTCAGCAGGATCACAATAGCAGTAGTACACTACTCCAAAAGCAGCCCAAAAGGCAGTGTTAGCCTACACCCGCAGTGACCCTGCAATCCCTGGTCATGACGCAACCGCCCGCGCCAGGTGGCTGTCCTGGAGGACATCAGCCGGGGGGAGGTGCTCTACGCCGCAGCATGCAGGGCGCTCAAGGTGCGGCGGGCGCGGCGGACGGCTCCGCTCCGGGGGTTTGGGAAAGTGTTCCGCTCTCAGCTTTGCGTCCGCATTCGCGACGCGTGGACCCAAAGGCCTTGGTTGCCCCCCTCACCCGCCGTCATGGGCGGTCCCCCCATATGTTCGCTGCCTGGCGCGTTGGCGTATCTCCTCACGCACGTTTCCCTCAGACACGCGAGCTTACATACACAACAAACCCATCCATACAACCACACACACACACTGACACACAATATTTCTGCTTCGATGCACCGATTTGGGTTTCACACCCTCTCGCCACCCCCACACCCCCACACCCACACACACACACAATCACCCCCCTCCCACCCCACCTCACCCCCCACCCTCTCCCCAAAACAACAGGTGATGCGTGACTTCACCGCGTCCCAGCAGGCCTACCTGTCAAAGGGGGGGCTCCCCCTGGAGATGCTGTGCGCGCTGCTCAACAACAACGTGGAGGCGTACGGCCAGAGCCTGGAGTTCACGGAGCACGTGCAGGCGCGCTGTTGTCGACACGATAGGGCTTGTTTGTGTATATGTGTGTGTGTGTGTGTGTGTGTGTTTGGTGCTGTACGTGTGTGTCGCTGGTGGAATGAGGCTCAGGGGTTGTAATTGCATGGCCTAAAATCCCAGGGAGACAGTACCCAATGGCGTCCAGGGGCGCGAGTGTGCACACGTGCGCGCCGTGAGCTGATCCGCAGTGGCGCGCGTGCCGCTGCACGGGTCCGCGCCGGGGCCAGCCCCCAGCCACCTGGGCCCCATGCCTGCAGCGGCGCGTGTGCACGCCTATGTATGGTCGTCCCACCCGACTGCGTTCGGCACGGGCTCGCATTGCCTGCCTCCCCCGGCCCGCGCGCCCATATGGCTGTGTCGCTGCGCTCTGTTCTTCGTCACCCACCCTTTGTGTCGTGCGTCCGCCACTCCCGCAGTCTCTGCTGGAGGCGCCCTATGCGGGAAAACTGGATGTGGAGGAGACGTGCAGGTGGGCGGACGTGTTCAAGCTCGCGCAGTGGTTTCAGTGTGGACACTCAGGGACCCTGAATGCCCACCGTCCACACATGCACATGCACCCATGCACAACACACACGCGCGCGCATGCGGACACACACACACACACACACACACATGCACATGCGCGCGCATGCACACACACACACGCACACACACACACACACACACACACACACGCACGCACGCACGCGCACGCACGCGCACACGCGCGCCCAGGTCCTTCCTTGAGGTGGCCAAGTCCATGGCGGGAGCCATCTCCGCAGAGGTGAGTCATCAGATGACTAAGGCTCTGTGGAGTCACCGCTCTGCCACCCACATGGGCAGGAAACCCACACACGCGCGGCTCGCCTTTCTCGAATTGAGGGATGCGTGCGGCAGCTCTGCTGATGTTGCCGGTCCTGAGCATTTGCCGCAGCGCCGCGGCAGAGATCCATATGAACAGCAGGCGCGCGCTGGTGGTGTGGGTGCAGGCGCAGCCGCCCGTCCAGCTGCACATATCCTCCTGTGTTTGCTGATCTCCTCAACAGCGACCTCGGGGTGTGCGGCCACCGCGACCCATGCAAGAAATACCCCTTTATACACACGCTCACACACACACACACCATCAATCACACACGCACACACACACACCTGACACCGTCACACTTTGGTGTGCGCTCTCACCCGCCGACCACCGCCCGACCGCCAGGTCATGCGTGACGCCGGGCTGGGTGACCAGTTTGGGCGGCTGTACAGCCACTCCGACTGGGTGGCCGGCACCACCACCGCCACCATCCTGGCCACGCTGCAAGGTAAGCGGGCTTGTTGTGCACAGGGTCAAAAACGGGATCAACCGCTAAGGGTGGCTCAACATTTTTCTGGCCGTCTTGCTTACGCGGCCCAATTTGAGCGCTTTTTGCATGCAGCCTTGTTCTTCGCTTTGCATGCCATGGGTGCAGGGTTTTTGAGGATGCGCGCCCGGGAGACCCCCAACAACCAGCCCAGCCTCGCGCAACTCCTCACCTTCCGCCCCTCCCTCACGTGCGGCTCCGCCCCGCCAGACTACTTTGGGGACATATCCACATTTGTGGAGCCCGGGTTTGCCAAGAGGGTGGCGGAGCTGGTGCTGGAGGAGGTGGGTGGTTTGCGGGGCGAGGGCGGCGTTGTGGGGATGTGTCAGCATGACATCACTTAAGGAGCAGTGCGTAAGAGCAGGGCTGGTGCTGGAGGAGGTGGGTGGTTTTTTGGAGGAGGGCGGCGTTGTGGGTGTGTCAGCATGACGTCATCCAGGGAGCCCCGCGTGCGAGGAGGGCTGGTGCTGGAGGAGGTGGACGCAGGGATCTGAGGTGTTTTGGGGGTGTGAGGTGTTTTGGGGGTGTTCGTGTGCGTGACATCATGAACGGAGTCCTGCGTGCAGAGAGGGCGGCGCACGGCTTAATAGGCAGCAGGTGCAGCGGCGCGTCCTGTCGACCCCTGGCGCGCCCCGTACCCTGGAGAACACACGCGCTGCCGCCGAGCCTCTCTCCTGATGATATACTCTTGCAATTCCCGGCACGACACAGCGTCGCGCCCCTCGCCGCTCTCGCGACAGTTGGTGCGGCGGTACGCGGCGGCCCTGGTGCTGGCCCCGCCCCCCGCCAGTGACCTGGTGCTCAGAAGGATGGCGGCGGATGAGGCGGAGGTTCAGGGCTTCTTCCAGGTGCGGTTGTGTGTATTCGTGTGTGTGTGAGTAAGAGTGTGTGTGTGCGTGTGTGTGTGCGTGCATGCGTGCATGCGTGCGTGTATGTGTTTGTGTTTATGTATGCGAGGGTGTATTTGTGTGTGTGAGTCTGTACGTTTGTTTGTGTATATGTGTACGTTCGTGTATGCTTGTGTGTGTGTGCAGATGTGTGTGTGTATGTGCGTGTTCCTAATTACCCACCCTTGCGCCCACCTCCCTCTCCAACCCCGTCCACGCCCCCGTCCCCGCCCCCCCCTCCAATCCCCCAGCCCCTGCTGCCCCTGGACAAGGT